ATTGTACTTCTACTTCTACTAATAAGGGAATATGTTGGACAAAATGCAGTTTTAATCATGTGAATATAATAAGAATTTTTAGATAAACAAATGGGAGAGTCCGTAGCAACTATGAATTTTGCCATTTCTTCTCGTGCAACATGTGCATTGTATTGTCATATTAAGAGAGTTGAGGATTGTGGATTAAAATTAAGTTGAGTTTGAATTTGCCTACCTGATCCGGTTGAAGATGTACCAGACAACTGCATTATTTGGGGGTGCTTCTTCTCCAAGTGTCATCGCATCGTCGAAGTCCCATTCTTAGCGCCAATAATGGTTCCACAGTAATTACATACCCCACACGATTCTTCCTCCTCCCCATTTGTCTTTGGGCGTTTTGATTTGGTGAAGTGTCGTCATACATCAGACACGACCCTCTTTGACGATCAAGGGGGTTGGGCTATGCCCGTGCCCATTGAGTCACAGCTCGCTTGTGTTTGGTTGCACCTTGTCTCGGCCGAATGTGGTTGTTGAATTGCAGTTGCTGCCTCTAGAGGAAATGGTTAAAATGGATTAAACCCTTCCATTTCTTCGGTGGATGGAACATAAAACTCATTTGGGGATGATCCTCCGAATGCATCGTTTTGGGAATCCATTATGAATTTATGATAAAATAATAAATAATTAAAATGAAAAAAATTAAATAATAATTTGAATAAGAGTTGATATTGAAAAATAGAAAAATTGAATAATATAAATATATAAATTATAATATGAATAAAGTATAAATATAAATTGAATGAGAATTTGATTAGAGATTTGGAGTATAGAGTATAGAGATTGAGAGAATGAGAGATTGAGTGATGTGGAAAAAAAAGAGAAATTTAAGGGATATTTATAATGTAGTTTTTTTTTTTTTTTTTGGGGGGGGGGGGGGGGGGGTTGTTGTGGAGTGGTGTGAATGTCAAAAAAATAAACGTTCTCCCCCTCACTGTCGGCTATTGCCAACGGTTATTAAATGGCATAAATGCAAATTTTTTTATAAAATTTCATTTTAACTCTTATAGTTCTGTTTATTTCAAAATTTATAAGGGGTTTTATGTAATTATCCAAGGGCTAAAAAATAAAGCAAAAGGGTTTAGGCTCAGCTTAGGAACAGTCCCAGGCCCGGGCCTTGGAGGAGGGCCCAGTGGAGGGACCGAGCCCTCCTTCTTAGGCTTGATCCAGTTTTGGGACTAGGCCTGCTAGGATCGGTCCTCTCAAGAACCTGTCCTAAGACTGAGTTTTTGGACCCGGTGGCAAATGCCTAGCTCTAGAGGTGCCTATTTATACTTTTGAGGTCAATGTAATAAGTGTTTTTATAAATTGTCTTGACATGTAAGGACCATTCCTTAATCCTTATCTTAAAATGAGATAAAATTGATATAAAATATGTTTTAGAGACGGTTTGAGTTTTTACCATCAATACCACCCTTATCTTTAAGTGCTTATTGATTCTTATTAGTGGTTATGACATTTGTGTATATTTTGGCACAAGAGGACTAATCGTGTTCAATAATTTGTTCGTCTCCTTTATTTTGTGAATCTACAGGATCAGGATGAGACGTGCAACCAAACGACAAATGCCTAAGAACCTTTGAAAGCGTCTCAAACAAGTGACAACAACAACAACTACAAAAGCACTTTTACATTCGCCTTTTTTTTTTTTTTTTTTTTAATTTAAACGTTAGGTGATAAGAGTATTTTCCAAGAAATTGAAGAGAAAGAAAACAGAGGTTCGGTTAGTCTGAAACTGGGAATTGATCAATAAATTCAAATTAATTGAAAAAAGAAAAAGTCAGGCCACAAATTATACAGGTATAATGCGTCTCATTACAAGTTTGTCTTGTTTCTAATAAATAAATAACTTGAGGAAAACATGTTAAAAGAAAAACTTTTTTCTTCTGAACGACTGTTGAGGTATGCCTGTGGAACTGTAGTAATCTTTATTTATCTTCCTTTTTGACGAGTTTTTTCTGTGTTTGTGTGTGTGTGTGTGTGTGTTTCTTTTACATTCACTGTAGAAGATTCTCTCTCTGTGGTGCACAGCACACAGCCTCATTATACTAGAGTGGTTCATTTCTTGGGCTGTAATGGCTGACTTAGGACAAAACTGGCTAACTATGAGATTTATATTTAGGATTTTGATCGTCTTTCTGTTGGCTTCAACATACGTTTCTGCTCAAAGACGCATTAAACATGAAGCCTTAGTATCCAATGCATCATCATCAATACACACTCAATCTAACAACCTTCTCGCTGCTATGAATTTCTTATGGCAACCCAACCAATCTGGCTATCAACATGTTTGGCCGGTAAGTTATACACGAACGTTCTCTTTTACTTTCCCCCATGAAGCCCTTTAGTACTGTTCTTAATTTAATTTTCGATTGGCTATCATTATAAATGTAGGAAATGGAGTTTGGTTGGAGAATTGTGGTTGGTAGTGCAATTGGAATCTTTGGGGCTGCCTTTGGAAGCGTAGGTGGTGTTGGTGGGGGTGGCATTTTTGTTCCCATGCTCAGTCTGATTATTGGGTTTGATCCAAAATCAGCCACAGCCATATCAAAATGTAAGTTGTTATAAGAGTAAATTATATGACAGTTAAAATTTGGATCTTGAAACATTAACTACAATGGTCTGTCTTTGTGTTTTTTCAGGTATGATAATGGGTGCAGCAGTTTCAACTGTGTACTATAACCTTAAGCTACGGCATCCAACTCTTGATATGCCCATCATTGACTATGATTTGGTGCTGATTATTCAACCGGTGCTCATGCTTGGCATTAGCATTGGAGTTTCTCTTAACGTGATTTTTGCCGATTGGATGGTCACGGTTCTGCTAATTATTCTATGTATAGGTAATTATAAAGATTAATAAGTTTTTGCAGTCTTCCTTTAGCCCTTTTAATATTGGTTATTAATTGCAGTCACTTCAATAAAGGCATTCTTCAAGGGTCTTGATACATGGAAAACTGAAACCAGATTAACAGAGGTAACGTGTATTGAAAGAGATGAAGTCGTTTATTTCTCTCTCACCGAATTTCTGTTGTAAGCTTAATATGTTCTGAGAATTTCAATACAGTAGTATAAAGTAAGTCCACTATATATAAGGAATAAATGCTCACATTTTCATGTGAAGTATCCTTCTTGACTAATGCTTTGTGTGGAGCTTGAGAGCTTTATGTGCTGACAATACGAATATGGCTAATTGATTCTATTATCTTATTCCAACATTTTAGGACGCGACTAAGCGTTTGGAAGCGAGTGCTGGTGAGTTCATCAACTGCTTCCATTAATTTTATAATGGTACAATACAGTAGTTAATTCATGAAGTCATAGCAATTATGTTTCTTTGTAATTTATCTGGGAATCCGTGATCAGGTACCAGTGCTGATGAAGGCGCGGATTACAAGCCACTTCTTGGTGGCTCAAGCACCGATCCTCAGAAGTTCACCAAGAACCCAGAGGTTGGTTTGGTATATATATGTAAATAAATTTAGATCAACCAATATTCTTATATTTACAACTGGTCCTCTGCAGGTTACTGTTCTTGAAAACATTCGCTGGAAAGAACTTGGACTTCTCACTTTTGTTTGGGTTGCATACCTAGCACTGCAGATTGCCAAGGTTATTTTATTTTTATCTGCTGGCTATTATGAAAATGGCTTGTTTAATTAGTGTTAACTCTTCACATGAGGTATACGTTGGTAACAGAACTACACAGCTACATGTTCCTCAGGATACTGGGTATTGAACTTGTTGCAAATCCCAGCTTCTGTTGGAGTGTTTCTGTATGAGGCAATTGGGTTGTATAAGGGACGGAGAGTTATTGCATCAAAGGGTGATGATGGCAAAAACTGGGGAGTTTATCAACTGGGTCAGTGGTGTGCCTGTGGGATGGTAGCCGGATTAGTCGGTGGTTTACTTGGAATAGGCGGAGGATTCATCATGGGTCCCCTGTTTTTGGAGCTGGGAATACCTCCTCAGGTCACCATTAATTCTACTCTTCATTGCTCATCAACTCGATCGCAAGCTTGTTCGCAGACAGAAAGCGTTAGATCTAATTAAATTACAAAATTTTGATGATGCAGGTTGCAAGTGCCACAGCCACCTTTGGAATGACCTTCTCATCATCAATGTCTGTCGTAGAATTCTACCTTCTGAATCGTTTTCCAGTCCCGTATGGTAAGTTACATTGGAATTAATATACAGAATTTACCATGAAAAAACTCTGGTTATACATCTTTGAATCTAGCCAAAATGACGTAAATTGCAAATTATTTGGTTGGCAGCTCTATACTTCATTGTGGTGGCTCTTATTGCTGCTTTTATAGGGCAATACATCATTACCAAGTTGATCACTATAACAGGAAGGGCGTCTCTGATAATCTTTGTTCTTGCCTTCACAATCTTTGTCAGTGCATTATCACTGGGTGAGCAAATATTATTCTGCTCAATTATTTAATTCAAATTCGTTGTTTAATTTATCCAGTTTATCGATCTCCTTGTGTTTGGCAGGTGGGGTTGGATTATCAGACATGATTGGGAAAATTGAGCATGGTGAATATATGGGATTTGAGAATCTCTGCAAATACAATGCCTAATTTGTAGTCCTCTTATTTGGACCTTCTCCATGGAGCATGGTTTATTTTAGATTGATCATACCGCGACAGGATTTGATTATTTATAAATTATAAGCTTTTTATTAATTAATTAAATGTCTGATTACTATTTATAATTGTTTTTAAGTTTAGACACATGACCAAGCTACTCTGTTCACTATTATGTTAATAATACAGAACATATTTTTATGAAGTAAAGAGGATATAGTTTATATATTGTAAATTGTAATAATGGTTTAATAACAATTTTCTACTCACAAACTTTTAAAATACCATTTTACTATCTAAATTTATATTCTAGTAGCAAACAAAAAAAACTCGGTCAAAGCTGTTAGGACTTTTGAAGAGGAGAGACCGATGAATCTTGTGATAGTAGAAAGTTGGTTTTTGGTCGTTGAGACTTGAGATTGTTAGAATTTGACTTGGGAGGGATTGCCGTGCAAATACTAATCACTTGATTATCGCCGATTGAAGGAGTTGGTGGGAGACTGGGAGTAGGGTTTTAGTGAGTGATGATCAGAGAAGAGAATGGTGGTAGTGTGGTGTTGCAACGATATTAGAATCGAATACGGAATATAAATTTGGATAATAAAATGGTATTTTAAAAATCTATGGATAAAAAAATATCGTTAAACTATTATTTGAGTGAAAAAAAGTCATTTAGTCTTATTATAACTAGAGATATATGCTACAAACCACTAAAATTTAATGGTTTAAGAATTGATGAGATGGTATCTTAAAACATATNGGAATACCTCCTCAGGTCACCATTAATTCTACTCTTCATTGCTCATCAACTCGATCGCAAGCTTGTTCGCAGACAGAAAGCGTTAGATCTAATTAAATTACAAAATTTTGATGATGCAGGTTGCAAGTGCCACAGCCACCTTTGGAATGACCTTCTCATCATCAATGTCTGTCGTAGAATTCTACCTTCTGAATCGTTTTCCAGTCCCGTATGGTAAGTTACATTGGAATTAATATACAGAATTTACCATGAAAAAACTCTGGTTATACATCTTTGAATCTAGCCAAAATGACGTAAATTGCAAATTATTTGGTTGGCAGCTCTATACTTCATTGTGGTGGCTCTTATTGCTGCTTTTATAGGGCAATACATCATTACCAAGTTGATCACTATAACAGGAAGGGCGTCTCTGATAATCTTTGTTCTTGCCTTCACAATCTTTGTCAGTGCATTATCACTGGGTGAGCAAATATTATTCTGCTCAATTATTTAATTCAAATTCGTTGTTTAATTTATCCAGTTTATCGATCTCCTTGTGTTTGGCAGGTGGGGTTGGATTATCAGACATGATTGGGAAAATTGAGCATGGTGAATATATGGGATTTGAGAATCTCTGCAAATACAATGCCTAATTTGTAGTCCTCTTATTTGGACCTTCTCCATGGAGCATGGTTTATTTTAGATTGATCATACCGCGACAGGATTTGATTATTTATAAATTATAAGCTTTTTATTAATTAATTAAATGTCTGATTACTATTTATAATTGTTTTTAAGTTTAGACACATGACCAAGCTACTCTGTTCACTATTATGTTAATAATACAGAACATATTTTTATGAAGTAAAAAGGATATAATTAAATATTGTAAATTGTAATAAATTATGTTATTATAAGAGTTGACGACTTTTTTTCACCCAAATAATGGTTTAATGACAATTTTCTATTCACAAACTTTTAAAATACTATTTTACTATTCAAATTTATATTCTGGTAACAAACAAAAAATAAACTCGATCCAGATTATTACGACTTTTGAAGAGGAGAAACTGATGAATCTTGTGGTAGTGGAAAGTTGGTTTTTGGTGTTTGAGATTGATTAGAATTTGACTTGGGAGGGGCTGTTATACAAACCCTAATCACTCGATTACCAACGATTAAAAGAGTCGGTGGAAGTGGAGTTTTGGAGGTTTTGGTCAGTGATGATTGAAAAAGAGAACAGTGATGGTATGGTGTCACAACGATACTAGAATCGAAAACAGAAAATAAATTTATATAATAAAATGGTATTTTAAAAATATATAGGTAAAAAACTGTCATTAAATCATTATTTAAGCGGAAAAAAGCCGTTTGTATGCTACAAACCACTAAAATTTAATGGTTTAAGAATTGATGAGATGGTATCTTAAAACATATAGGTAAAAGTTTGTATAGGAAATATTATTCTATATTTATAATACAATATTTTATTAAGCATGTGTGGACAAATATTTTTCATGATATTCAGTTTTGGGAAGAAAAAGATTAGAATTTATTGTCAAAAAAGTTGGACCATGACTTTGTAACTTGGTTAGGCCCATGGTGTTGATATGTAGGGCCTACAGCCACGAAAGATTGAAATGGGAAACCAAAAGTTACTTTTACCATGAAATACAAGGCATAAACTAAGCAGCGTATAGAATAAGCTAACTGCATCCTGGGAAAGTAGGAATCTCGTATCCAAACACCAAAACCTAAAAAACAGAAGACTCATTATCTATCGCCGATCAGAGGAAGACTTTTAAAAGGGAATTTTTTTATATCAAAGTCTCTGGTCTCAATCGAAAGGGGCAAACAAGGAACAAGATGGTGTTTTACTTCAAAGCCCGACCAGAGGCTGGCGATTACACCATCTTCATGGGTCTCGACAAGTACGAGAACGAAGAACTCATCAAATACGGTTTCCCCGAAGACGTTTGGTACTTCTTTAAATCCCTAATTTTACATTCAAATTAACCTAATTTATCAATCAATTATGAATTTTAATTATCTCTTTTTGCAGGTTTCATGTGGATAAAATGTCTTCAGCTCATGTTTATTTAAGATTGCACAAGGGTCAGACTATTGATGATATAAGTGAAGGTGTTTTGGAAGATTGTGCTCAGCTTGTCAAAGCGAATTCCATTCAAGGTATAATCTTTCTAGGCTGATTCATCTTATAATTCAATCAATTATGATTTTGTTTTATGTGATTGTTTTTTCATATTACGTTTCTGATGATTATATAAGGCTAGAATGAAGTGATAAAATATTTATTGATTTCTGTGTTTGATTTGGGTATATATGTCTCGATAACTTTTGAGAAATCTGTTATTGAAAGAAATATGATATGTAATTGTAAGCATTGAGGCATTGTAATCCGTTTCATTATGTGGCAGGCAACAAGGTGAATAATATTGATGTTGTTTACACTCCATGGTCCAATTTAAAGAAAACTGCTTCCATGGATGTTGGCCAAGTTGGTTTCCACAATTCAAAAATGGTAACATCCTTTGTTTTTTCTGGTTTATGTGCTTGTATTTTCTATCATTTGCAAGCTTTGAGACTTGTTTGTGCTTGTATTTTCTATGAGTTGCAAGCTTTGAAACTTGATTGTGTTTGTTGGGTTGAACTTGATTGTGAGTGACGGATTTTTGCGTGGTTTTGATGCTCAATTTAGGTTCGCACTGTGAGGGTGGAAAAGCGGATAAATGAGGTAGTTAATAGATTGAACAAAACAAAAGTGGAAAGGAAACCTGATTTAAAAGGTAACTTCTATACACTTCGTTGTTTATCAAATGGTTTCTTAAATAGTAATATTCTGTTATTCCATCTTGAAGGAATTCATGCTTAGTACTTTGGTTTAATGTTCTCAATTTTTCTTATATTGTTCACGAATTTAGTTCTTCTGCATCTTTTTTCTTTTTGCTCATGGTCATTTTCCTTTTGTTACATTCCTGCAGCTGAGCGAGAATCAGCAAATGCCGCAGAAAGAGCTGAGAGGAAACTCCAGCTGAGAGATAAAGTGAGTTTTATAACTTGCACTCTCCTTATTAATTAGTAATTAATCTTGATGTTGTGAAGATTCCAAATTCTAATATGAAAACTATGGACGTCTTTTTCCTTCTCTTCTGTCTCGTTTATGTGTTCCTTTGCTTGGAACGGAAGATAGCTAGGATGAGTTTGGGGGAAGATGGGTAGGGTGAGTTTGGGGGTTGGGGTGGGTTGTCAAATTACATGGTTTTAATCAGGCAGAGTGAGATGATACATTGGGAGTGATTTTCAGGAAAAAAGTCTGAGGAAGTAAAAATATAAATAAAATATCTGTGTTGTCATGGCTTTAGACTTTTAGTTATGTAAATGGCAAATTTCCATCTTTGTTCTGTAATATGGGTGAGTTAATACCAGATGCTATTCCTTTTATTTAATGAACTTGAAATCCTATTTTACTTTTTTAAATGATGTATCTATGTGCTCATGGTCTGGGAACTAGTTACAGAAGTTATGCTGGTAAGCATTTCCTATATTCTTAGCTCCCATATCTGTGACCAAAATATGTAAAGTGCATTACCTTGTACGGTTATATTGACATATCTGGTTTAGTAATATAGAAGGTTCTTGGTTTACGATATCCTTAGTCCTTGATATTCAGTATAGACAGTTCTTGGTTTATGATATCTTTAGTTCTTGATATTCAGTCAGAACTCTATGTCCATTGAATCTTGCATCCATATATTATCTATCTATCTATCTGTAATTTTTTAATAAAAATCTCTTTACATATCTGTTTGCAGAAACGGCGTGAGGAGATGGAAAGGCTTGAAAAGGAGAGACAGGCAGAGATAAGGAGCTACAAGGGATTGATGGTGTCCGACAAGATGACATCTAACAAACAGATTGCTTCAGAAAGTAAGTCCTTGCAGGAACTGGAAGAGGACTTTATGTAAGCACACGAGTGTCAAACTGCTTCGTAAGAGCAGGAAAACTTACTGCCATAGAAAGATGGAATTTTCCATTCAGAATGTGATGCTAGGCCTTCAGTTATTTTCCCTTGTGAATAAATCACCTCGGTCCTAAATGTGGAACTCATAGGGTGCTAGTAACAAAAAGATATGCACAACCTGAAGAAATGGGATCATTGAGGGGAGGTGAACTTTACTTAAAAATAGACCATTTGTTGTACTTGGATGATATTGTGAAACATGATTTGCATCTTTTATTCATGGTTAATGATTGATAGCATGTGTTTCTGTAATCGCCCACTAAAAAAATTGTTTCTGTAATCAAATTCTATAAGGAAACTGATCCTGCAGTTTGTTTCATTTGTACTTAATTACTAGTTGGTGTGCATGGTTGTATGACAAAATTTAAGCATTTTGTTCATTGGAAACCATTGGAGAACAAATTATAAGCATTAACGATTATATGTTTTTTGTTTTCAGTTAGATTGTTGAATATGGTTCATGCTTCACATGGCCATGACGGATTATTGGCTTATGCCGACGCATATCGGGTAAAGCCCAACTGCGGTTATGTTTTCTATTATATGTATTTTGTAATAGTGAAAAACCTAGATAGTGAGAAACAGAGAACAAGAGTGAATTGTTCATATTTTAAGATTATTGTATTCTGTAGATTTCTGAAATTTAATAAAATTATTTTATTTGAAGGTTGGATATAGTTCCTTTATTGGAACGAATCACGGTAAATCCATTGTCTTCTTTACTTTTTTGCATTATTATTGTGTGTGTTTTGACTGTGGTTTCAACGAGATTACATGAAGAAATACTTTACCCTAAACGATAAGTTAAATTGATAATGATGAATACTCTTATACCCTAAATGATAATGTAAATTGATAGTAACTGGGCCGAGATCTTATAACTTAAATTTTCTGCAGTAGATATTTGAGGAACTAATAGATGTGAGAAACAGTTTGGAGGTAGTTATTTTGTTTGCTACTTAAGTAATTCTTATAGTGTTGGATTTTATTGAATCCATGTTTGAAAATTTATGTAAACTATTTAAGTCGAAATTTTAAATTAAAAGAACTAATCTCATTGTAATTTACTATTTGATGAGATTTATTTATTTTTTACAATGATAAAATTTGGTTTTACTTAAATATTTGAATTATGTGATTGAAATGCAGACTAGAAGAAAAACATAGTGGTGTTTGTTTTTCTATCTGAAAACTGAATTAGACTGAATTGGTTTATGAACTGAATAGTTAAATCTACATGATTTTTTTTTTTTTTTTTTTTTAAGTGTTAAATTATTTGTTTTTGTCCATAAAAATGTCTTAAAATTATCATTTTGACATATATGCCCATTTGATATTAAATTATATATTACTTAAACAAGTTTTAAATTAAATTAATAAGTTGAAAAATATAAACTAAATTATATCAAAATCAATATTTGCATTTTTTCCGACTGATTTAATACTAAAAAAAAAAAATTTTTTTAAAAAATCAAACATATTAACATCCTGGCTAAAAAAAAAAGAAAAAGTAAATACAAGGATAGTAAAACTTAGTTGGACTAAAATACTTGATTAATGAGTTCAATGATAATAAAAACATAAACTCTGAAGTAGAGAAAAATATATGAAAACTTTGGAGTATAAAATGTTGGCCTACAAGAAGAACATTGAAAAAAAAAAAATTATGTAAATGGATAGGAATATAATTATAAACAATATACAAGAATAATGTTGTCAACACAATTTAAACAAATCATTCAAATAACTTTTTGATAATCAGGGTTTAATTCTCAAAGACCTATTGAACACTCTATAAGTCCAATGGATTAGGTAACAAGACCTCTAGCTAATCTATCCAGATGGTTAAGGTTTTATCATCCGACTATAAGCCTAGTGATTTCTGATAACTGTTTATTAAGTGAAAAGTATAAAAAATATAGTTTTTTTGTTCACTAAATTTTAGAAAAACATTGAGTATTAATTGGAACGAAATTTAATATTGTGAACATCAAATGATTGGCCTGACGGTGAAAGAGGTTTGCATCATTTCTTAAATTTAAATATTGGGATCACCTACTAAATATTGTGGCTTATTTAGTCATTTAGGTTTATAGGGTATCCAATAAACCTTAAAGATTAGTTGAGGTACGTTTTGGATTTTTAAGGTATTCAATGGATCTTATAGATTACGTAATATATGCATAGACTAATTCGGACATCTGGTCAACCCAAAAAAAAAAAAAAAAAAATTATTTTGCTTCCCTCTGAAATTAAATTTTCATCTAATAGAAGAGGGAAAAAAATAAAAATAAAATCCCAATTCCGATTATGACTCGCCAAGTAGCAGTTGACGTACGTGGCGGGCAAATGAGGCACGATAAGTCGTACCAAACCACTGTAGTTGAGTTCAAACAGTATGTATCTGTCTCTATATATATGCTGTCTTTAATTTAACACCGAACTAAAATATCCCCAAAACCCTAAACACTCTGTGTCTCCCTCTCTCGCTCTCTCCCGCTCTCTTTAGTTGCAACAATAACAATGGCGTCCTTGGATGAAGAAACAGCTAAAGCAGTGCTCAGACAGGTCTTTCTTCTTAACTTCCAACTGCTTCACTCTTTGAAATATTTTCATTTTTTTTGTTTTATTTTTTATTTGAGTTATTTGTTTTCTTAATTATTTGTATTTTGCAGGTTGAGTTTTACTTCAGCGACAGCAATATTCCTACGGACGAGTTTCTCAGAAAAAAGATGAGCGAAAGCCAGGATGCGTGTATCCTCACTCTTGTCATTTATTTATATTGATTTTTTTTTTAGGGAAAAGTTCATTATTTGAAACCAACTGTGTGGGCTTTTGTTTCTTGGAAAATGCGGAGGTTTTGATTTTTTGAGTATTTGAATATTGCATAAGTGTGTTTTTGTTGATATTGACTGAGAGTACAGTTGTTAGCTTGGCCCTGATTTGTTCGTTCAAGAAGATGAAAGATCATTTAAAATTGGGCAATGTGAAGGCAGAAGACATGCCTGAAGATACATTGAAGGCCGTGGCTGAAACTCTTAAAAAATCTACTTCTCTTAAACTTTCTGAAGACGGTAGATTTTCTAAACCTCTGACTGACGCTCTGTTTAGATTTGAGGAAATACTGCATAGCATTTGTAATTGAAAATTTCATTATGGAATTTGGGAGACCAAAAAAGAAAATAATAGTAAAAGTCTAAGGGAGCTAAATTCAGATCTTTGGCTTGGTTTAATTTCTATCTGGGCATGGTCTGTTTAGCATTTTAGACGTATTTATTGCCTTTTAAGTGATTTTTCTCCATTTTTATTCAAAAAGCTAGAATTTTTCTAACCTCTCTCTCTCTCTCGAGCATATATTTTCTGAGAGAGTCGCAGTTGATGGTTAATTTTTAATGTAGTATTGTATTTGAGAAGAAAAGTTCAGGCTATTATTGGTTACATCAATTATCAACATCCATTTGTTAGGATCTTTTATTGTATATTTCACACATTTGTTTACTTTTTCTTTTTGGGTCCTTCAGGGAAGAAAGTTGGTCGAGTTGCTGAATTACCAAAGGCAGAGGAGATGAAAGAGCAATTAGATGGAAGAACAATTGCTGCATCACCTCTAGAATATGATGTGAATCGGGAAGATGTGTCGTCCTTTTTCTCTCAATATGCTAAGGTATTAGCTATTCCCTTTATTTGAAGTTGACGGTTGGAGTGCCTTAAATTGAATGATACAAATCCATCACTAGCTGCCAGAAGTGGGTTCTTACTTTAGATTTGGTGCAATATATTTGTTAAGTGATCTGATTCTATCTTTTCGAACTCTAGATGTGGAGTAACTAAATAAGTAAAGTTCTCTTCATCTGATTATGTTCTTAATTATTTAAGGTTAATAGTGTGAGGTTGCCTCGGCATGTAGCAGATAAAAGGTTGTTTTGCGGTACTGCTTTGATTGAGTTTTCAACAGAGGAAGATGCAGAAAATGTTTTGAAGCAAAGCTTGGTTTATGCAGGTGTTGATCTAGAATTGAAGCCAAAGTAAGTTGTGGGTGGGATTTTGGTTTTTCTTATAATTATTTCAATGAGACTTTTCAGAAGTATTAAACAATGTGATTTCCAAATGTCTGGTAATTAGATTATGTCTCTTTCACAATGTATTCTACATAGTTATCCACGATATAAAGAAGATGTTTAAAATAATTATTTTTCTTTGTTCGTAATGTTTTATGGTTTTTGGCTTTTGAGTTTATATATTGGCAATATGCAGAAACAGACAAGTTAAATGGACAAATGAAGTTTCTTCGATGAATCTTGCTTACATTTATTAGTTTATTTTTGGGCATGTACAGAAGAACTTGATGGCTTTCTCTTTTGTTCATGTCTGCACATTAAAACTTTTTTATCTTTATTGTTGTGTTCTCATAGATTTTCTTCACCATTCAGGAAAGACTTTGATGAGGAACGAGCCAAAGAGGTCGAGGAAGTTGAGAAATTTCGTCCACACATGGGTTCAAGTCGCAAAAACAACTCAAATTCTGAAGCAAAGTAATTAAAAACACTCTATTATATGAGCTCTATTGGTCCTACCCCCCACCCCAAAGCAAAAAATTGTAACCTAATGTTCTGCACTCATGATGATGACAGTTATCCGAAGGGCTTAATTGTTGCATTCACATTGAAGAATACCGTAGCTGGGGACAAAAATGGCACTCACGAGCCAGCTAATGATAGTGCAAAGAAAGTAAATGGAGAACTAGATTCCCCAGAAAATGAGCTGAAGGCAGATAATGAAGATGGAGAGAAGTCGTCTGAAGGTTCCATGGAAAAGGGAGAAGAAAAAGAAGAAAAATCTGCAGTTGCTACCTATAAGGATGACATGAATGTTGTTATGCGTGAGGATTTGAAGGGTGTTTTCAAAAAATTTGGCACTGTTAAGGTAACATGATGGTTCCCCGTTATCTGGTTTAGATTATATGTCTTCATTGCTTCTTGATTAGTGTTGATTTTCATTGAAGTCAATATTTTCTAGGAGTTTTTTATAGTGTCCATAATTTTTTTTTTTTTTTTTTTTTTAATTATGGAATTTTGTATCTATTCTTTTACTGTTCTACTTGGATGATTGTGATTTCATTTACCATTGCTTATACTGGCTCTAGTGTTTTTCATTCATTTCATTATTCCCCTAGATTATAAGTTATTTTGTCTGAACAGCAAGAATGAAATTGAGCATCTTTTTCCAAATTGTTGGTCTAGGCTTTGTTGGCTTTTGACAATTGTCTTCACATTCTGTTTCTTTGTCTGTGAAGTTCATTGATTTCAAGATTGGAGCTGAATCTGGATACATTAGATTTGAAGAACCTGAAGGAGCTCAAAAAGCTCGGGCAGCTGCAGTCCTAGCTAAAGAAGGTGGCCTGATTGTGAAGAATTTTATTGCCATTCTAGAACCGGTTACTGGTATGCAACAACTTTAAAATTTCCCTTTCATAACTTTATTTGTAGATACTTTGTTGTATGGTTCGTACTTTTCATTGCAAGGTATGTATGCCAAACATTCTGCAGTGGCCTTCTTCATACACATCTTATCTTCTTTCTTTCTAGTCTTGGAAGACGGCTTTTTAATATGAGAGTATTCAGTAACAGTAATAGCTAATGTTACACCTATTATTGTCTTCGATGACTATGACCATGTGATGAGATTAATTAGTTTGCCCTTTGATGACCTCATAATTTTCATAAATTAGACATTACTAGTTGTGACACTGAGGGTGGTGGTATTTTACCTTTGTGTTCTCAGGTGAGGCTGAAAAGGAATACTGGAGCCTACTTCGAGGTAATCAAGAACGGCACCGTGAAAATAAGGGTGGTAACCACCGAGGAAGGTCAGTTATTGCATAGGACTTCAACTATTTTCTCCTTTTGTCTGGATTATGCAATATCTAGAGGATTGCCCTTTGGCCTTTGATGTTGTTATCTCCTCTTAACGGCCACTATCTTGGGAAACTGACCCACCCTTTTCGCTTACCTTCTAAATTTTGATTATCCTATGCAGGGGAGGGAAATACAATAGAGGTGGGAAGCACCCTCGCTTTAGAGAAAATGATTCTGCAACTGGTCGCCACAATAAAGCTCAGAAAGTTGAATCAGCATGAGAGTAATGAAACCCCAGAATCAGTTCTGGGATTAGTTTTGATTTGTATGACACCACCATGAGAGCTTTTTGTTTCTTTTTTTGTTGAATCTTTTTACGTTTTGGTGGAGAAGAGCATGATGCAGCTGTTCAATCCCCTGGTGTTTTGTTACCTATAAGTTTAGTCTATGTTTCATGACATAATATTAAGTTTTTGTTTTTATTTCAAATATATTTAGTTTGTTGTTCATGCCTGTATTCTGTAGCTACGACAGGTGAAGTATAGATTAAGCAAAAGTAATTTAGTAAATTTAATAGTTGGTCTGTCTTTCGCAAGTATCATGCTTGTGTTTCCTTGCAAGAGTTTAGTTTATTTTGCCTCCAAGAAGTCTGTTCTAACGATTAGTAATTTGTCCAAACATTGGATATTTTGATAATTTTTTTCTTTATTGATTGATTAATTGCGCATTTTAATTGTGCCCCATATGGTTTTCCAGTCAAACTTAGGCTGAGGGATCTCACACCAGCAGCAACATGAAAACAGAGATTAAGTTCTCGGAAAATATTGCTTTTTAAAACATTGAAAGCCAAAATACAATCAAAATGTAAATTGTAAATTTGCTGTCGCCCCTAGCTAGCTTTGTGCATATATAGAAGGGGCTAAAAGGCATGGGCTCAAGTAATGAAGTGGCTGGGGCTTCTGCCTAGAGAAATACATGGAGCACATGGAAAGGGGATTCTACTACTTTTGATGAGAGTTAATTTAAAATAAAATTTTCAAATTTAACAGGGATTCTTTGCTTAATATCTGCCTCACTTGCTTTACCCTTTGCATTAATTTCTTAGGTACCATTGCATTTACACTGTACAGAAATACCACTCTGAATTTATTAAATTGGAACTTTGAATTTCATTTAATTGTTGGAAAAAGACGATTAGTGTCAGGAGTAAAAAGCCTTCTACAATTGTCTTTGGTTAGAAGTCTCAAGTTTTCATTTTCTCTCAATTCGGTGAAGGAAATATAAAGGTAAAAGAGTTACAAATCTAGCCAGTTGGGTTTGTTAATTTACTTTGGTTGTGTGAAAGAGTGAGAGAGAAGATGTTGGAAGGTAAAGCTGTGATAAAAGATACAGACATGCCATTGAAGATGCAAACTCAAGCTATGACTTCTGCATCTCAAGCCCTTGATCTTTATGAAGTCTCTGACACTGTTTCTATTGCTGCACACATAAAAAAGGTAGTTTTGATACATTTATTCAAAACCAATAGTAAAATTTGTTGCTTATTTTCATTCAGAGATGAGATTATTGTTGTTTTTGTTTAATAGGATTTTGAAAAGATGTATGGGCATGGATGGCAATGTGTGGTGGGCAGAAACTTCAGTTGTTTCTTCACCCATTTCAAGGGAAGTTTCATCTACTTTGCATTAGAATCTCTCAACTTCCTCATCTTCAAAGGGGCTTCTTCTTCTTCTTCTTCTTCTTCTTCATCATCCTAGTTGAAGGTGGGGGATAGTGACAAAATGTCCTTTGACATAGGAAGGTGAAGTATCTGTAATCCTCTTTGTTTGATAATATGACAGTTCTTGTGTTATGAAGAAGCATATTTTGTTAGCTTATGTAATGGATGACAGATACAGCATCACTGTGTTATGTTATCCACATTTTTCTCCATCACAAATTTGAACTGAAACAGTTACTATGGCTTTTAGATTGACGTTGACAATGAGAAATGTGGATGATTGTGATTTCATTTACCATTGCTTATACTGGCTCTAGTGTTTTTCATTCATTTCATTATTCCCCTAGATTATAAGTTATTTTGTCTGAACAGCAAGAATGAAATTGAGCATCTTTTTCCAAATTGTTGGTCTAGGCTTTGTTGGCTTTTGACAATTGTCTTCACATTCTGTTTCTTTGTCTGTGAAGTTCATTGATTTCAAGATTGGAGCTGAATCTGGATACATTAGATTTGAAGAACCTGAAGGAGCTCAAAAAGCTCGGGCAGCTGCAGTCCTAGCTAAAGAAGGTGGCCTGATTGTGAAGAATTTTATTGCCATTCTAGAACCGGTTACTGGTATGCAACAACTTTAAAATTTCCCTTTCATAACTTTATTTGTAGATACTTTGTTGTATGGTTCGTACTTTTCATTGCAAGGTATGTATGCCAAACATTCTGCAGTGGCCTTCTTCATACACATCTTATCTTCTTTCTTTCTAGTCTTGGAAGACGGCTTTTTAATATGAGAGTATTCAGTAACAGTAATAGCTAATGTTACACCTATTATTGTCTTCGATGACTATGACCATGTGATGAGATTAATTAGTTTGCCCTTTGATGACCTCATAATTTTCATAAATTAGACATTACTAGTTGTGACACTGAGGGTGGTGGTATTTTACCTTTGTGTTCTCAGGTGAGGCTGAAAAGGAATACTGGAGCCTACTTCGAGGTAATCAAGAACGGCACCGTGAAAATAAGGGTGGTAACCACCGAGGAAGGTCAGTTATTGCATAGGACTTCAACTATTTTCTCCTTTTGTCTGGATTATGCAATATCTAGAGGATTGCCCTTTGGCCTTTGATGTTGTTATCTCCTCTTAACGGCCACTATCTTGGGAAACTGACCCACCCTTTTCGCTTACCTTCTAAATTTTGATTATCCTATGCAGGGGAGGGAAATACAATAGAGGTGGGAAGCACCCTCGCTTTAGAGAAAATGATTCTGCAACTGGTCGCCACAATAAAGCTCAGAAAGTTGAATCAGCATGAGAGTAATGAAACCCCAGAATCAGTTCTGGGATTAGTTTTGATTTGTATGACACCACCATGAGAGCTTTTTGTTTCTTTTTTTGTTGAATCTTTTTACGTTTTGGTGGAGAAGAGCATGATGCAGCTGTTCAATCCCCTGGTGTTTTGTTACCTATAAGTTTAGTCTATGTTTCATGACATAATATTAAGTTTTTGTTTTTATTTCAAATATATTTAGTTTGTTGTTCATGCCTGTATTCTGTAGCTACAACAGGTGAAGTATAGATTAAGCAAAAGTAATTTAGTAAATTTAATAGTTGGTCTGTCTTTCGCAAGTATCATGCTTGTGTTTCCCAGCACGAGTTTAGTTTATTTTGCCTCCAAAAAGTCTGTTCTAACGATTAGTAATTTGTCCAAACATTGGATATTTTGATAATTTTTTTCTTTATTGATTGATTAATTGCGCGTTTTAATTGTGCCCCAAATGGTTTTCCAGTCAAACTTAGGCTGAGGGATCTCACACCAGCAGCAACATGAAAACAGAGATTAATTTCTCGGAAAATATTGCTTTTTAAAACATTGAAAGCCGAAATACAATCAAAATGTGAATTGTAAATTTGCTGTCGCCCCTAACTAGCTTTGTGCATATATAGAAGGGGCTAAAAGGCATGGGCTCAAGTAATGGAGTGGCTGGGGCTTCTGCCTAGAGAAATACATGGAGCACATGGAAAGGGGATTCTACTACTTTTGATGAGAGTTAATTTAAAATAAAATTTTCAAATTTAACAGGGATTCTTTGCTTAATATCTGCCTCACTTGCTTTACCCTTTGCATTAATTTCTTAGGTACCATTGCATTTACACTGTACAGAAATACCACTCTGAATTTATTAAATTGGAACTTTGAATTTCATTTAATTGTTGGAAAAAGACGATTAGTGTCAGGAGTAAAAAGCCTTCTACAATTGTCTTTGGTTAGAAGTCTCAAGTTTTCATTTTCTCTCCATTCGGTGAAGGAAATATAAAGGTAAAAGAGTTACAAATCTAGCCAGTTGGGTTTGTTAATTTACTTTGGTTGTGTGAAAGAGTGAGAGAGAAGATGTTGGAAGGTAAAGCTGTGATAAAAGATACAGACATGCCATTGAAGATGCAAACTCAATGTATGACTTCTGCATCTCAAGCCCTTGATCTTTATGAAGTCTCTGACACTGTTTCTATTGCTGCACACATAAAAAAGGTAGTTTTGATATATTTATTCAAAACCAATAGTAAAATTTGTTGCTTATTTTCATTCAGAGATGAGATTATTGTTGTTTTTGTTTAATAGGATTTT